GCTTGGCATTTGCTTTCTGCCTGACTCACTGAGCACATTAAAAGCCACTTATTTGCCTTTCTTGCTGTGTGGTGGAGATGTGTACCCTTGCTTTTGTACTTCGATGCATTGCACTCAAGTTTAGGTAATTTATAGAAACCTCTTATGAAAAAAAGGTGAGAGACCACATATTTCAACAGCACAAAGAAAGAAAATCAAACACCAACCCCCTTCTGTCTTGGCAGCTCGGTACACTTTCACAGGGCTGCAGGAAACATTTAAGGCTTATTGGGAACATTGGAGATGAACAGCAGATGTGTCTGTGATTCTGGCACTGTTCAACATGTTCTCCCCGACCCCAACCGCCACTGACCCTCCTCACCTTTCCACCGCTGCCCCCTCTCTCTTCCCTGCATCGATTAAATACACATATACCCCTTTTTCCATCTGTCCAGCCATACCTCCCGTTGCCTTGTAAAGTTTTGCCCTAGATTCAAACTCTGTGTGTGAAGGGAGGTGTATACCATTTAGGGGGCCACACTCATCTCCCGCTCCACCAAAATGTGTAATTTTTTATTCTTTAGTGAAGCAGCACCTCAACATCTGTTGTAGCTGTTGTTTTCTATTTGCACTTTTTGCTTTATATTTGTATGTCCTTTCACTTCTGTCTCCAGTTATTTGCCTTCATCTAGCTTTCTTTATTTTTTTTCACATTACAGTGAATAAAATGTGAATCCAAAATCCCCAAGATTATAAGCTTCTGATAATAAAAATTGCAAAAGTCAAGGTCCTGGTGACCTTTATATAATGCTGTCAATTATCCTGTTATGCTTTTCCCCTTGATTAACGGTCAAGGTCTGGCACCAGATCTCCAGCCTGGATGAAGCTGGGGTTAAAGAAATGCCTCAGTAAAAATCATGGTCAGAGCTTAGCAGCTTGGCCAGACATTAAGTAAGAGCCTTAATGTGAAAGGACCTCGAGGGAAGTTGATGTAAACCAACAGGACCCTGCGGGCCTGTCCAGACAGGGTCTGAACCAGCTCTCTACGAGTTGAAACGGGCCAGAACAGATGACAGACAGGCAGACCAGAACTGACGAGAACAGGGGCTCACATGTTACACACTGTTTGTTCTGCACAGTCTCCAAAATCTGTGAGACATGGATGGACGGGGAGAGGTTTGGACGGCACTGGAAATGGAGAAGGAGCTGAGGGGAGGTGGGAAAAGAGTAGGAGTATGAGATTGAGGGGAGGTGAGAAGCAGAGAGGAAATGGGTTGACAGTGGAGAAGGTGGAGGAAAGGGTGAGAGAGGAAAGAGCGCCGTGGGAGGGCACTATTCATAGGAAAAGTTTGACTTTTTGTTTTAGGTAGGTTTTATACTAAAGGTTCTGCCTGCTTTATGTCCTGTCTTACAAATGTCACTTCTTTTCCAGGAAGGGAATAAGGAGGAAATAGATACAGCTGTGTGTGTGTGTGTGTGTGTGTGTGTGTGTGTGTGTGTGTGTGTGTGTGTGTGTGTGTGTGTGTGTGTGTGTGTGTGTGTGTGTGTGTGTGTGTGTGTGTGTGTGTGTGTGTGTGTGTGTGTGTGTGTGTGCTGAGCCCCCAGAGATAGGAAAAGTATAGAGGGACTGCTCAAACCTCAGGGACAGACATGGAGGGATGGATGAAAAAGGAAGGGGAAGAGGAAGTTGTGGAGTAAAAAAGAGTCTAAGGAAGCTGAGTTAATGTAGTGTGAAGTGACATATCTCATTATGAATAGAGCAAAGACGGAAGAGAAGGGAGAATCACATAAACGCTACAATATGTGTGAAATGGTGAGTGTGTGTTGAGGAGAAACAGACAGAAAATGAGAGCAAGTATAGGGCATGAATGGAGTGGATATAGCTCTAGGCCAGTTGGCATTGAACATAACGGCTTTCATTGCAAGGTGTTGATTCTGTTGCCGAGCCCTTGAGCCACAGGCGTTTAACCCCAACAACGGCCAAGAACAATGGCTAACAGCCGCATAAACGGATAACATGTGAGGTGAAATACAACATTTACTGCCTAAGACAATGACATCTGGAGCTGGAAAACTGAATCAGGGCTCGAGGCTTGGACAAGGTGCTGAGAGGTGAGGGCGAACAGGGGAGGGTGCAGGTAGGTCCTTGGGGGGGGGGGGGGTAAAAGGTAAGATGTGGAGGTGCACTGTGGTTAAAGTCAATCCCTTTATAAATCCCTTGATGCACAATCCGCTGACTCAAGGGCTTCTCAGGTTCCCAAACAGTTCCCCCAGGGGACTCGTTTAACTGCGGCGCAAGCCTTGCTTTTTATGAATCTCCTGCACTGTAACGTGTGTCACTGCTCATTACAGACAAGACAGGCTGTGATGCGGTGCGGTGCGGGGGGGTCCCAGGAGGGGGGTCCCAGGAGGGGGGTGGCGACTCCTCCGGTGAGGGTGAAGACCTCTGACGTTGCACACATCAACCCATCACTATCAGCATGCATGTTGTTGCAGCCCCATTGTCATTAACAAATGTGTGTGTGTGTGTGTGTGTGTGTGTGTGTGTGTGTGTGTGTGTGTGTGTGTGTGTGTGTGTGTGTGTGTGTGTGTGTGTGTGTGTGTGTGTGTGTGTGTGTGCGCGCGCAAGTGTGTGTATTTCTTTTAAGTCACACTGTGATGCGATTCGACATATGCTGTTTAAATGTTCCTGATTTCAGTGTGGATGTCCAATAATTAGATGATTTGTGTCTTATTACCAAGGAAGCGTGATAAGTGTTTGCAAGGGATGTGTGTGTGTGTGTGTGTGTGTGTGTGTGTGTGTGTGTGTGTGTGTGTGTGTGTGTGTGTGTTTCCAAAAGAGACAGAGAGTGAGAGTGCTCAGTGTGTGTTTGTGCTTTCTGCTGTGAATGTGTTCCAGATAGTGCTGCTGATGGTTATCTTTCGGAGAGAGCTCTATTGATTTGGCTGTGGTAAATAATTGGTTGGGTCTACAAGCTGTCATGTTCGGCCTGATTGCCGAGCATTGGTGGTCTCGAGCAGTTATCTCCCTCCATATCCCTCTCTGATCCTTCTCTAGCCTCCTTAGTCTATCTCTACATTTATTGATTAGGACCCTATATGACCATTCTCCATCCTTCAATTTGGGCAATAATCCCCATCCCGAAGCCATGTGTTACAAGTTATCTGCTCTCCACTCCTTTTTCTTGCTGTAGAGAGGGAGGGAGGGTACTAATAATTTAGGAAAAATGGAAAATGAGGGGAATACAGAATGAGGACATTTGGAAGGGTCAGATGCAATACAGGCTTGCGTGGTCTGCCCTAGTTTTCCTTGACAGTAGACTACATTTTTGCAAAGTGAGGTGGAGTGAGTGGGTGTGTGGGGGTGTCCCGTGCACATTTAATCTGATTTACTAAAAACTATGTAAGTGTTACAGCCCATTCCCTAATTAACATCCCAAAATGCAGACAGATTTCACACTAAATAATAACTTAAAAGAAAAACTCCTCAGATGGATTCGCCTCATCCTCCTGCTGGCTCTGTGGTCTATATCCTGTCCACTGGGGAGGGCTGCATGTCAAGTTTGGGAGGCCCTGGCCCACATGCTGCAGCGTCTCACAGGGTCACTGAGCTGAGGCGATGAGAAGACCATTAGCGACCCCGCTTGAGTGGCTTTGGGAACTACAACCCCCAGTGAGCCAAGAACAAGAGGGCTGATTATCCAAGCAAAGCCACAAAGCGCTCTTTTGAATGTATGGAGAAACGCCTCATTTACTGCAACCGGTGGGTTTTTTTGTTCGTTTTAAAAACCTATACCAGGCCCCAACATTACACGCACGTAACCACAGCCAAACTCCCTGGGAACAGCTATAATATATCCCTACAGGGATTTTGTGATATTTAATTATGGTTTTGTAAAGAATAAATGGATTATGCCTGCATAAATCAGTTGGATACAGATACCACAACTGACTTTAAAGTGACCTAACCGAAGCAAAGTACTTTTTTAATACACGGAGATGTATATTTAGCTGCGTGTAACTACAGTGAAACGGGTTTACATAGTGTTTTATTCACGGGCGATATACTCAGCTTTGTACACGGACTTTTATGGGACTTTTCCACAGTATGTTACTGTTAAACCGTCGTATAGTTTTTATATTTTCATAAGAACCGTATCCCACTGCGGTTACAGAGGTATTTGGGGTGTTATTTGTTAGATAAATCCGCCTAATATCGCTTTACCCAAAAGCCTTCACCGCCTCACTGGGACGCCTAGAAGTTTCGCGGGGAAGCAGACAGCTAACCGGGGGTGAAGTTGAGGGGGGAGACGGTAAACTTCCTCTGAGAGCTGCCATGTCTGAGCCCAGTCACAACCTCACTTCCTCTGGAGCACATAGCTTAAAGGACAGCAGCGGAGGAGAGGAAGAAGAAAAAAATTGAATTAATTAACGGTAAATTTGAACAAATACGCCTTTCCGTCTTTCCTTGTCGCCGAGAGGTTTTCCTAATATCATGACAGAGTAGGCTGAACTAGACAGCAGATGTTTCCCGTCACCGGCAGATCAATGAGTACGGGAGGAGGAGGAGGAGGAGGGTTTGTGAGGCAAGATAGGAAAAACGTATTTTATTTTCTCCTTTCCCCCACTTTTTCAGTCCTAGACTAAAGTGCTTTCTTTTGAAACTTCATCAAAGTTAATTGTCACACTCTTGTTTTTTCCGCAGCGGGTGAGATAATAACCGTGTTGTCAAGTGGGGAGGAATTTACAAAATCAGGTTTACTGCTGTGGCTCTGTAGGAGCAGGGGCTGCTGTCTGCACCAGTAGGTGTTAGACAGCAAAGAGGGGACCTTTAGGCTGTGTGTATATTGCTTTATCTCAAATATGAACAGCGCAATAAAACCACACTACTAAAAATCGGTAAAAATGTGTGTATTGAGGAGTTATATTCCTTGTATTATAATAGAGAGGGATGTATATGATTCATTCCTAGTATCACACACAAATAGTTATTTTTTTTTTGTATTTGTGCTTTCCTCTAGATCTGCCATGCATCCCAGGCTTCCTGTCTATATCCTTATTTCTTTGCCAGTTCTCCTGGCGCAGGGCAACACAGCCGATTCGTCCAAGAAGACCCCTGCTGCCCCAGCTAGCCCTCCACCCCGCCCGCCTCCTCCTCTGGGTGACCCCAGCTGGGCTCTGGGTCTGCGCCTGTACCAAGCCCTCCGCTCCGACTACAGCTCAGTGAACACCCTCTTCTCCCCTCTGCTTGTGGCCTCCTCGCTTGGAGCGCTGGGGGGAGGAGCAGCGGGCACCACTGCTAGCCAACTCCAAGACCTCCTCAAGACCACAACCCCTGCCAAGGCTGGAACCCACGCTGGGGACCTCCTGTCCGGGGCGTTGAAGAGTTTCACTCAAGCCAACGGGACCAGCTTTCACCTGCACACATCCTCAGCTCTGTTTTCCAAGCAAGCGCCTGCGGTCACTCAGGCGTTTGTGAAGGACAGCCAGGCCAAGTTCAGGCTGCAGCATCAGCCGCTGGGGAAAGGAGACTCCAAGGCTGACCTGATGCAGCTCCATGGTTGGGCTAAATCTGTGCTCGGTGGGCTGGAGGTTGCTCCTTTAGCAGCTTTAATCCAGGCTAAGGCTGGAGCCCTGATACTTGCCAATGCCCTGCGCTTTAAAGGTGAGTAAAAATACACAGGTAGTTTGCATGTGGGCTTGCCTGCACTCAGATCACCATTCTGAGTTTGGTCTGCGGTCACTACATCTTGGAAAATATGACATTGGTTGAGTAATCATGGGAAATTATATTAAAATGGTATGCAAACATGTCATCATTTATTAGTGTGTCCAAAGCAGTCCTGCCTGTGACCCTAAATGAAGCAACTCTGTAGCCAACTGAATATTTCATTATGGTGAGTATCCACTGGCATAACTGGTTGGCTGTAGACACATAACACAGCAGAAAGGCTGGGCTGACTAATGCTGTAATATAGACTGATGTGCTTTGTAATCGTCGAGTCATTTGCGGTTATGCAATGTCTCCGAATTGAAGTTGTTTGCTGCATCGGATGAGAAATCTTAGAATATTTATATGGCGTGCACATGTACCGTTTTCAGTGTTCAGGCAGCACGGAGAGCCTACAAGCCAATTTGCCCACTACATTGTGTGTGCCAGCATGCCCACCCATGTGCAGTGTGCTTGACTGTGTGTGTCCGTGTGTGTTTCTGTGTGCGTGCATGCGGTGGACTCCAGCTGGTGGACACAGCAGATAAAGGATGATTCTGGGGTCTATCACTGAGAGCTTATTCATCTTCCATTGGGGGGTGATGTGTCATCTTAAATAATTGAGTAACAAGTGTCCAGACTCTCTCCCTCGGTGTCATGCCTAACATCTGTGCTTGGAGCGCTCCAAGTCTGCGGCGGCACAGCTTGGCTCAGATCTGTTCTTTGTGACGGGCTGCAGTGGTGGAAACTAGTCAGTGTTTCAGTACGAATGCAGTCAGTTATAAGCCCCATCTGTGATTGAACAGTTGCATTCCAAAAACATATCCATATAATCCTGATCTGAAGTCATCATTGTGCCCCTTTTAAAAAGTAGATTAATTTTAACTTCTATTCGGCTGTTAAAGGGTGTCCGTGTTCGTACAGCTAGATTTTTAGTTCATCATGAGTCAAAGAAATAGCTTATTTTCCATTTTCATGATAACTTTTCAAGAATGTAATCTACCATCTCTCTCTTTCTCCGAGCACAGCCAACATTTGTGTGCCTGCTGACGTAGTATCTCATTTTTGTTTGCAGTCTACACAAAAGATGATGATGTGTTAAATATATCCTTCTGTTTCACTTGTTCTTTTTGTGGCGTTTTCTCTCTGTTTTTTGTGCTTTTGTCATTGTTTATCACGTGTCTAATCTACCCCTGTCTTCTTCCTCTCCTTCTTCTTCATCCCACATGTCTCCTGTTCACATCCTTATCTGCTTCTATCTGCCTCTATTCTGTCTGTTTCCTCCTGCAGGTATTCCTTTTATTAGGTGCAAAGAAGGCAAGGCTGCGGAAGTGAAAACAGGTTGCCAATAGATAGACAGCTTTTTGAAAATAACATTCCCTGACACACACTATACATTGATAAGCAATTTAATTAATTTTCTTTGTTTGATGTTTTGACTTCATTACAAAATTAGTTTTTCTGTGAACCAACCCTCATTGGTTGGTTCATTAATTTTGTGGAGGAAATATATAAATTAGATTATACAGCAGATTGCAGCGCACAAATTAGATTACAGAAAATTGGATTCCTTTAGTTTTGATTCATAATTTAAAAGTGGTCGATAGTTTGTTTCTTGTTCCTGCTAGCTGCCCCTCGCTTGTTGTAACTTTTTTTTATTTGTCTTTGATTTCTGGGTCCTAAGGCAATTCGTAGTGTGTGATAATGTAATGTTTCAGAGATGGTGCTGTAATTTCTTTTGGCAACGATCAGGCATCTGCTTCCTTGCCCATTTTTGTTTGCTTCCCTTTAGTTAATTATTAAAGGGGAGAATTTAAAAAGCTCTTCGTTGTCCCTCCTTCCCTGAGCTGTACACAGCATTCAAAGAAAGAGAAGGTCGGGGCAATTAGTAATGGAACATGTTTTTAGCAGCGAGATGTGAAAAGCAAAGAGAATGGCAAGAGGACTGCAGAGAAAGAGCAGTGTAAGGAGAGATTTCTGGGTGGGAAGAGGGACAAAGAGATGCAGCGTGAAAGAAATGGGAGAAAAGTAAAGAGCAAAAACTGAGAAAAGTAAAGAGAGGGTGGCCTGCTGAGAGAGCGAGATTGACAGACATAGTGGAGGGATGTAAAAGGCCTACCTAGGGAGTGCTAGTCCACACTAGTTAATTAATTCAGGCTTTGTTCCTGTTTTAGACAAACAAACACTGGAGACAGAAGAAGAAAAATAAGATTGTGGGGGGAAAAAAACAGTAGAGAGAAACTTCGACAGAAGATAATGCAACAACACGGGGAAGTAGAAGAGGAAAGAAAAGGCGAGAGAGAACAACAAGTCCCCACATATTTAACCTCTAATAATAGCTTCTGAAATACCACAACCACTTGTAATCAAAAGTTGATGAGGGAGGAGAGGGAGCCGGTCTGTCTCATTGATTCTCCTCTGGTTGTTGCCTCAAGTTTACAGTATGTATTGGTAAGTCTGTGTGCGATTGGATTTCTTAGCTGTGCAATTGTCTCATTGTTTATTGTTGATGGATATTAATGGATTCAGGTTTCAAGTGATCTCTCCGCTGCAGTGCTGTCCTATAAAAGAAGATAATGTAGTGCAAACCCAAAGCAGGCTCGCTCGTCTAGACAAAAGCCCACACAGCCACACACAGAGATCAACAGAGTCCGCTGTGCAGGCTGCTGAGGTCATTAAATCCCTGCTCGATACAACTTTTTGGCATTTACACACACATATGAACATATACCGTGGAGAAATTATTCATCATTAGGACATCATTTCAACCACACGGCTGCCACTTCAGGTAACCTTCAGCCAGTTGTTTTTAAATTCCAGTGTGATCATGTTTCACTCTCTGATGCTATAGGAAGCGGAGCGAATGTCTGTGACTTGCACTAGCATGCCTGCGAGGGAGAATCACATGTTGGGACTTGTGATTTGCTGGGTCCAATGGAGGCTGGGTGGTTTTTTGGGAATTAGTCCATTAATTGATCAACAGAAAATTACTCTTCATTAGTTTTGATAATCAATCAAACAATGTAAAGCAGCTCCAATTTAACACAAAGTTCAGTTTACTAGTAATAAAGAATACCAGTCAGCATGTAAAAACAGTTATATAATGACTTCTGTGGCTCTGTTTTTTCTGAAGAAAATTCAATTTTTAGCTTTACAATTGAATGAAAAAATGAGAATAGTTGGCATTTGAGAAGATTTACTCTATTTTATATCATAAATTGAGTATTTTAAATTGTGTGGGATTTTTTGTTCGACAAAGCAAGCCAAAGAAGATGAAATGGGTATTTTTCACAATTTCACATTTTAAAGACTAATTGAATATCGATGATTTAGAGACTAGCAGGCTCTGAACACTTTGTCCAATGCAAGTATTTAATGATAAAGCCAAGGAGTCTGTCTCTAGACTTTAATCATTTTGGTCTTCTTGCACCTTAGTATTGTGTCATGAGTGTGGCAATCTTTTCAACGATTAATTGATAATGAAAATCATTGTTAGTTGCAGTGCTAGCCGGCCCGAGGTGTCATTCACAAAGAGTGACATAAGTACAAGTCATAATCTCTTGACCCCCTCGCTCCATCCAGGGTCCCCTGCACCACTGAATGGGCCAGCGGCTTTGGGAAAGTGTTGTGAGGTTATTACAACAGTAATTCCACTGCTCTCAGCTCCTCCTAAATTGACAGCTGTCATGGGGTTAGCAGGGCCAAGTGGGATGTGGTGAACAGAGAATGGGACGCTGTGGCCTTAAGGACCTCATAACTGCCTCAGTATAGCACTCTCAACTCAGCAGCTTTGAAACGAGTAGACATTTTTTAATGGGCAGTAGATATTGATGATTCTCGAGCAGTGTCAGCAGGTGTCACCGCATAGCAGGTCTATATGTATTTATGAACATGGCATTGTTTAACCTTACGTCCACCTTTTCGCCTATTTCAATCGTTAGGTATATTCTTACTGCCCATCCATGTCAGGCATTCGGTATTCAAAATGCCTCTGTGTTTGTTTGGCTGTTTGTTCAGGGCTGTGGGAGAGAGAGTTCAGCGTGGACAGCACAGATCGTCGTACCTTCTTGGGAAAGAAATACACCAAAGTGATGATGATGCACAGAGCAGGTAAAAAACAGTCTGTCACTGCTGTACTCCTGCCAGCAAATAAATGCAGCGAAAAGCAATTTGAGTTCTAAAATGGCTTGAACATCTGTAAGGTCCAATCTGCTTCCCTCCTATTTATCACTGTGTACCTTATGATTTATTTAACACGCTTTTCATATTTTATGTATTGTCTTAAAACAACAACAAGGGAGAGTGAATTTCTTTTATGACAGCAGCAGTAAAAGATGTTGGAAGGATACATTGTATTCTATTTAATGTTATGTGATGCCATTTACAATTCATGAAAAAGATGACTTTAGTCATCCATTGTCATCCTGTGTAAGGTTGCATTCACATATTGTTTGAGTGGATTTAATCCCACGCTGTAGTGTTTTCCCCTGTTGTTCAGTTCATTTAGGTAGGTGAGAACTCAGGTGGTACCAAATAATGGCAGTGACACAGCTGAAAATGTAAGTCTGAACTAACTTCCAGGAGAACTGCTGTGAGGAGCTACTGCTCTAAACTACTGCTGCAAAAATGTTACAGTATGGCAAAGGTTCTTCTTGACTATCTGATCTTTCCTCAACTCTGTGCATGCCTCTGCCTGTCCTTTTTTCCAGGTCAGTACCGTTACCACGAAGACATGGAAAACATGGTGCAGGTTCTAGAGATGCCTCTCTGGGAAGGTAAGGCCAGCGTGGTCCTCCTGATGCCATTCCATGTTGACAGTCTGACGAGGATGGACAAGCTTCTGACCCTTGAGTTGCTGTCCAAGTGGCTGGAAAAGACCAATATGACTAGTGTGATTATCTCGCTGCCCATAGCGAACATCACCAGCACACTCAGTCTGCAGGTTAGTATAACAAACTTCTAAATGCTTGCATGTATCTTCTGAAAAGTAAAGTGAGAACTCAAAACTATAATGATGAATTTAAAATTAGGATAAGTTATTGTGATACTAGTCATCGGTCATAATAGTAAAACAGGCATTAAGACATCTTACATTAAAGGGTTCAGTTTTTTTGAAGTGGGGTTGTTATCCATAGTCAATGTTTTACTGTGTGTGGCGGTCAGCAGGCCCCAAGTATGGTTTGGTTTTGGTAGTTTAAGTGCATGCCATTTCCTTTGGTACTATTACTACATTTTCTCAACCATAAAACTTCTGTATTCCTAAGCATAAGCCCAACTGTGCCACCCACTATATTACGCCACAGATGAGCAGTTTGGACCAGACTTAAAGTGGTTTATGGAAGAGGAAAACAAATACAGGAAAATAAAAATGAGTGATTATGACAGAGACGATGAAATGTCGTTCACTTTGGAGGCAAGAGAATAAAGGTATACAGAAGAAGAAATTTTGCAAATGGATATTGAACCAGCTGAAAGAGAGAGGGGAAACTATAGTCTGTCATAGCCAGACTTATTTCCTCAGTGCTGTCTCAGCACGGTAACTACAGCCACAGCTATATAAGGCCAATATCACCCAACAGAACACAGTGAAATCTATATGGTGACCAGGACACTTCTTTATTTGATTAGCCTGGAAAAACACAACACAAAGTTTGATTTCAATCTGATCTTGCAACTTTCTGACCGGACCGCAGCTGATCTGCAGCGTAATACAGTGTGTGACACAGTTGGGCTCGTGTAGGAATACGGAAGGTCTATGGTTGAGAAAATGCAGTGCCAAAGGAAAGGACTGTCTAACTGCAAAGTAAAGCAGTGGAAATGTTCTAAAAATAGCGCACACTTAAATTGATATAATTTTTATTTTTCTATTTTTAAGTGGGCCTTTTTTATGATGCTAAAATATGTTTTTCTCCTTACACGGCAATGCGTTGTTTGGTGTCTGTACCAGGACTCCAAACTTTACCTCATACAACCCCAAAAACCAAACTAACCCTTTAAGATGGGAGAAACTTGACCTCAGCCTCCATCAATTATTAACTCAAAGTTTGAACAACTTGCTCCATGATACTCTGCAGTTCTATATAAAATACATTGTAATGTTTTTGGCTCTATAAAATGTTGAGTCTCATACTGTATAGTTCAGGCTAATGCATCATGCTTATGTTGGATGGCAGGCACAGTGTTATCTGTGAAACTACTCTGAAATGTTTGAATAAAAGACTTGGCTGTTGGGCTGAAAAACTGTTGTAGTGTGACCAGAGGGGCTTCAGTAGTTTTCTTTATGTCACTGACAGTGAAGCCCATCTGTGACACCCTGTTCCATTTTAGGTCATGTATTTATGTGAGGTACATCCTCTAGGTTTGTTGTTGCGTCCCTTGTTCCCCTCCCTGTGGTGCACATACGGCTGCAGCTCCTGAATTTCCCCCAAGGCCTTGTCTGGCTCTGGCAAATCCTTGGAGTGAGTGTGAACAACCAGGTGCTCCATTCCCACCAGACACAGCCCATCCTGAATTGGCCTAATTTTCAGAGTCACCTTACCTGCCCTGACAATGGGGTTTGTGGTGTTTTCTTTTTAGGGGCATCTACAGGTGTTCCTGTGGGAGTCATACTGCTTGTTTTGTTTCAGTTTGTCTTTTTCTACTTACCAGTGGACTGAGGTGATGTGCTTATACAGCATATTAAATGTGCAGTGGAGAAGTGGTGGCTCAGCTTTTTAATACCATACTGGGATTTGACAGAGTGGATACCGCATGCAGCCTTGATTGTAGTTTCTTCTTTTAGTTTCTATCTTTCATTCATTTCCTGTCTCCACACACTGCTTCATTTTTCACTTCACCTGATACGGTTTCTCATATCTCCAAGAAATCCAGTCATCATTCTCATTGTTTCTTTGCCTTCTTCATCCTCTTCTTTGGTTTATCCATGTCTCTTCTTCTTTGTTTCCTGCTTCTGTCTTGGCCACCTCCTCTTCCTGACTTGCACTCTGCTTATCTTGGTTCTCTTTCTCTTCCCCTATTCTTTCTCTATTCATATGTCTTTCCCCTTCCTCCTCACTTGGCTGTGTCCCCTCCTCTCTCTCTGTACTTGTGCCTTGCTGCTCTGCCTCTATGTTGTGTATTTCTTCCTCCATGCATTCTTCACCTGTAGTCACTGTTTCTGTCGTCCTCTGCCTCTTTAGTGCTCTTACCCCAAATTCCACAGGGCACGCCTTTGTGTACGTCTGCAACGCAGTTTGGCTCTGTGAGCCTTGTGTTTTCAAATCCTGCCGAGAGCGTTTCAGAAACAGAGCGTCTTCAGAGCGTGTTTTGTGCCCAGCGTTATTTACTTGTATATTTTGTCCTTAAAAAATATACCTCCTGTTACCTGCCTCTGACTTCTGTCCTGGTGCCACAATGTTGATCTAGCACGAAACTCAATACAGAGTCTGCAGACATTTTAAAATTGACCATCTCTATGCTGTTTCTGTGTCTGACTTCCTGCCAGTGCGATCTGCTCTGTGCTGCTTGACGCGAGTGGGTTGCGGCTTACGTCAAAAATAGACCAGCCACGTATTCTAAGCAGGGCAGAGTGGAGTCGCTTCTGTAACTCTTCTGGTGGAATTTGGTTAGCAAGTGAAGCCATGACCTGACTTGTCCCTCTTAGTTCAATGCAGACTCTCTCAGTAGAGTCTGAATGTCACTCCTTGCCATACTTTTCCTCTCTCCTTTGAGATGATGGCATACAGCTGTACACCCAGCATTGGGCTGTAACAGCCTTCAGCAGGGAATCAAACCCTAGCTTCTAGGAGTCTAAGAGGGGCCTGAGGATGACCAAGGCCTGTAGCTCCTCGGTAGGCTTCAGAAGTCTACCAAAGATCTCCTTTTGCAAGACCACAAAGGTCATGCCACAGCCCAGCTGGTAGTCTGCCCGTATTTCTGCTGCTGTTAACCCCAGAGGCAACAGGTAGCTGGCCTGAGTCAGAAAAGAGTAAGCCAGGACGAGCACCAAGCCGACAGGCAGTAGCTTAGTGGCTTCTGATGCTAATGTGAGTGCACAGGGGTTGTTTAGGTTCAAACAGGCCAAACTGGGGCTGTGTTGGGCTGCTGACTGGAAGGTTGGAGAGTTGTCGAGCTAGAGGAAGAGCACGTTTTCGTCCAGGCCGCAGGGTCCATAGCAGGGGCAAAGGCACAGACAAGTTGCTAGAATCACACAGGCCTCCAAGCCTCTGAGATTGGCCTGCTGATGGGGGTCATGGCAAAAAGAAAGTTTCCTTTCCAAGCTTATTGTACTGACATTAGTTGCAGTCATAGTTCTACAGGTTAGGTTTTTCATTTGCAGTTTACCAAATAATGCATTCACTGGGGATGTCTCAAGTTTTTTTTTGAAACATTGAAAAAAACAGGTGCAGTCTACTAAATTTGGAATACCTTATTTTTCATCAGCTACATGATCCAAATGCTGATGGTCATGGTTTAACACTATGAAGCTGATTTAATAGATGGACACTGTTGGTGTTGGTGTGTATTGGTGTTACAGAGAGTGGAGAGTGGAGGTTCTTCCCTCACAAATTATTATTAGCGTACAGACAGCGGCTTGCAGAGAGCAGACAAACCTGACAACAGCCAAGTTTAATTTCAAGTTACTTACAGAATTCCTGTAAATTAGCTGCAGCTGATATGACCTTCCAAAGGAAATGTTTGCCATTTAAACTGGCAAAAGTGACACCCATGGTCAACACCAGCTCAAAATGAGGAGCTTCTACATGAATGCTTTGTCCCCTGTTTTATGCTAATAAGAAAGAGAGTGGAGAAAAGATTCTGTAACAGATTTGTTAGCTTGTTCTCTTGCATATGCAAGCTAAATGCGAACGCTGCAGGGCCTGGATAAGATGAGCAAAACACAGTAAAGAAAGATTGGGTATTTAAGACTTTGGTGATCCATCAAAATATTTATAATATATGGCTCGGGACACCTTTAGTACTCGCTGTTACTCACAAATAAGAGACCTTAATATGCAAAGTGACCTTGCATTATTTGCACAAATTTGATAACTGGATTATTTTGTACAGAGTCTGTGTTCTGATTGTAAAGGCAGTACAGTTATGAAGCAGAGCCATACAACCTTGGGATCAGCACAGGTTATTTTCATTAAGTTTAAACATTTTCAAATGGCATTATTGCATCCTCACCTCACAACTTAGAGCCATTTCTGTCTGTTTGCGTCCTCTTGCATCTTTCCATTGACTTTGTATGCTATCATGGCTTCTAAATTTGCATCACGTTCAGTCTGAACACACCCTTTGATTCAGAGAGAGGGATACAGGAGTTAGTAGAATAACAGTTGTGGATGAGTGACAAAGACATAGGGCGAGAAAAGGAGAGAAAGAGAGAGAGGTTAGTTGAACCTGACACATACAGAGGGCATACCAGTAAAACCCATTTCCCCAGGGCCCTGTACACTGACTGGAACCTAATACCATGTCCTCTTTACATGTACATTGTAACCTCATCATGGACTGATGAAATCCACTTTGCCCTCTTTCTAGTTTAACAAACATCTCTGAAGAGTTGTGCTGCCATGTTATTCTGCTAGCCATGCCCTGAAGAACAAGCTTTTGACATTAACATTGTCAGGACACTCTGGGGAGGAGGCTGTAATCTAGAACTAAAGCTTGAAACAACTGCTTTTGACACGGCAATGACTTTGCCAGGGAAAAGAGCAGGAAACATACTGTTGCACAAATCCCCTTTTTTTCTCTTGCAGGAGAGTCTGCCAGACAGAAGAAAAAACATTTACTTTTTACCTGTAAATAACCCGAAGTAGCTGTTCTGTGCTCTCATTATGTAACCTAATTATGGACAAGCACTTAAATGATTTGACCTCTGTTTCTCCGACTCGTCACGTGTTGTCTCCCTCCGTTTGCTCTCTCAAGAAAAAGAAGTGAATTTGAGGAATCATTATGAACGGGCTAATGCTCTGAACAAACCCTCAACCCACTCCGATCTCATTTTGTCTGTCTGTCCAACCCCTCTGGCCACTGACAGCCAGCCATGTCTTCTCTGACAATCATTTTTCCAATTGGGTCGGGCAAATAATTGCTCATCACCGTGCGTTAATACTGTTTACCACTCTGTCTGTCAGTGCTTGGGATGGCCATGGATTCCTGAGATTAGAGGGCGGCATCTGGACAAACAAAAGATCATAGTAGTGTGTGTGCGTATGTCAGCCCTAACACTCGTGTCCTCTGTGAGGCAAATGAGAACAAACAAACGTACGCACCTCTGAGTCGCATGGATTTGCCACATGCAAACGTGCCCATTCCCTCTTTCACCTCCGTCCCCTCTGTCTTATCAGTCCCAGAGATCTAATTCCTTTTTGTAGGTCTCACATGTGACTGTAATGCGCCATCACTCAGCATCACATTGGCTCTGCTGACCTAAATAGGAATGACATTCGGCAGGCAAGTGAGCAAGAGAGGTGGAGGAGGACGAGAGGGGGGTCAATGATTGCTCGGGGACAAGTGTCACAGAGAACTATAAATAGCTGCAGAATTCTGCCTTTTTCTTTCTTAACGTCTCCCTATTTGTGGTGTTCTCCTCTGGTGAAGGGCAGACTGTGTCGGAGTCTGTAGCCAGAGACGGAGAACCCTCTTAACAAGCCTGGCCCGGAGGTCACTGAATAAACCACCCTCATCGCTCTCTCCCTCTGTCTCTGATCCAGTGCTGACCAGGCCACACACACACGTACACACTAATGGTCAAGCTTGAGCTCCATTCTGGCTGTATCTCATGTCGGTGACTAAGACATATGAGTGTGCACCGGAGAGCTCACTCAATCACGGCTAATGAGGTCAAAAGGCCATCAAATATTTACAAGAGCACACTCCACAGTATACAGTGTCGAGGGACAGCTGTTTTAACACAGCCACGACAGCCCTGCATCATATGAATTAATCAGATGTGTTTAATGGCCATTAGTTGAATATCTCACTAAAAGCTAAGGCTTCTTTTTCCTTTTTCATTCGTGGTGAAATTGCCCTGTGGAATAAAAGGCGGCTCGTGTATATATGAGCGAGTGAATGAGACACAGAGAGCGTATTGACCCTGCAGAAGAGGTAAAAGCCCATGTAAATAAGATACCAATAGCGGTTTTGCTGATGAGACTCAATAAAGAGCTGGAGAGGCTTTGAAGCCTCAAGAGAGCTGATAGAATAAGAAAGGAGTTTTTTTTAAAGACTGCATCAAATGTTTCCATGAAATGGAGCTGTGATGATGCCAGTGACACATACCACATACTTGAAACCACCCACGCAGGATGTTAAGGGCAGTATTGAATTAAGCAGAACATGTTTGTAGTTGTGAAAGGTGACAGCACCTTAAAAGAATCATTGGGTAGGTTTGATTGGTAAGCCAGAGGGAACAGGAGGTGTAAACTGTGCAGAAGCAGTGTAGATAAGGAGATTTTTACTGCTTTCTTACGATTGTTGGGCTGATTATACTCACAATGTAGGTGTCACAATTGATTAGACCAGGTTGGACCTAGTTTGTTTTAGTCAGGATCAGTGTGGAGATAAAATGATTCCATGTGGGGCATTGAAGAATTTGAACCATTTTCCTTTTGATCCCATTAATGCCCAATGTTCTCATTAATAATTAAAAAATGCACTTTACATGCACCCTTTATTGTACAGCAGTGAAATGATAGTGAAGAGGCAGACAGGAAACAACTGGAGAGAAAGAGGGGCATGACATGCAACAACAGTTTCCACCAGGGATGTTGCATGCACTGTAACCATTTGGCTACCAGGGTGCTAACATACTTGGTATTTGCAACAGAATTGAGACCACGGGCATCACATATTCAATTAATCATTTTAGTAGTTTTTCAACCAAAAATGCCAAATAGCCCCTAGTTCCAGCTTCTTATGTATGGGGATTTGCTGCTTTTCTCTGTTTTTGTATACTGGAAATTTTGGAGTTTTGGATTGTACAAAACAAGCCATCTGAAGACGTCATCTTGGGCACTGGGAAATTGTAATGGCCATTTTTTCACCATGATCTGACATGTCATAGATCCAATGATTTATCCAGAATATAATCAATAAGGAAAATAAGTGCTAGTTGCAGCCTTAAGTATAATATTGCGGTGTGCCATGAGAATTATTTTGTCCGTAGCTTTGCTCGAGTTCACTCTCACTCTTGCTCACGCTCACTTTCTCTTCATCCACTATCTCATCCAAATGTAGTGCTTTTCCGTCTCTTTGCCTCTTCTTGCAAATTGCAACAGTAATTAGCAAAGTAGACTGTTTTTGATTGATGTCCATTTCTGTTTTTGTACAGGAACAGAAATATTCAAATCCTTGTGGAATACAATGGAAAAGAAGATGCTTAATTGCACCTTTGGGGACATGGCTCTATTGCATTTCCAAAAGCAATAAATGCAATATGCAATTCAAAGACATTAAACGTCCCATAAGACCATAAAAACTATTATAAGAAATAGTTACACAAGCCCATTCAGGACTATACACAGTTTTTGGAAGTTACCTAGTGATACATTATTACGACTTTAGCTGCTATTTGACTGTGTAGACAAAAAAAATTATGTGTGGTGTGTAGTCTTTCCAACGTTTTCATAATGTTAAAGTATTTTCCCAGTTCATGTTCCACAGTTGGAAGCAGCAGCTAATATAAAAGAGCTCTCTTTAGCAGTAGTCTCCGTTTGATCTCTGCTTTTCTTCTCTCCTTCCTTTCTTCCCCATTGTCATTATTAAGGCTGCTCTGTCTCTTAACATCAGCCACAGTGACCCCTCACAGATGGAGCCGTAACATGTCCTGGCTGCCACAACCTATCCACTTAAAACCCCCACAGGTACACCCAACAAGCTACTTAGTGGGCCCAACCATCGAGCTGAAATAATGTGATGCGGAGTGCTGCACGCCTGAGGGTTGACGCCATGCTACCTCAGGCCTGGTTAGACTGTCACACCGCTGTAGGCCAAGTAAGCCCTACACACACACACACACACACACAGGAAACTACCAGCTGACAATGCCCGTGGCTCTCACTCGCAGACAAATAGCTCGTTGATGCTGTGTGCAAGGCATCAGCAGTCCGCCCAGTGCTGTTCCATCTAAGATTCATGTAGCGCTTCAGAGAGAAAGGGCAGCCAAAGAGCACCTCCCGGAGGTTTTTCTGCCCATATAATGCAGTGCCACACCTCTGTGGTGCACAAGGCCTCCATAGGCTCCTCTGAAACCCCTGGCCTGTTTCCCAGCTGGCAGCCAGGTCCCTTAATTTTTAAACACTTTGCGGCTTAAAAAAAAAATTAACCAAGTGCTTTTGCCTTGACAAGCAGAGTAAGAGAGTCGGAGAGAAGTGCTAGGTCATGTGGGGTTGGTTGGTACTATTTATATTCTTCATAGTTGTACCTGCACTACTGTAGGCCAAGTGAGCTGGATCCTCAAGGAACAATGGAATAGCAAGGATGAGAGTGACACAGAGAGACAAAGAAACCAGCTGCTTTTTTTCATGCACACATTTGTCTTAAACAATTTGAGGAATCCACTGGCGTAAGTCTGTTTCTGTTTCCCCCGTTAGATAAAAAGCGGAAAACCTTGAAATCATTGCCGATGTAGATCGAGAAGTTGAGGGAGCAATGTATAACCGGGCGAGCTAGCCTGTCAGAGGGAAGAGAAGGATGAGGCGGGGAGGAAAAAGACTGAGTTAGGAGCAGAGAGAGAGAGACAGAGTGGGATAAAATAGAGGCACGCGGGGCAGATGAGGGATGGGGATGCCAGGGAAGTGGCAGAGCAGCGGAGGAAGACAGTGATGTAGTGGTAGCGGGTGCAAGAAGAGAGGAAGAGAGGAGGAATAATGGATGAGGACAATAGAAGTGCATTAGAACAGGGGGTGGTGTCTTTGTGGAGAGGGAGCTTTGCATGAAAACATTGGAAAGAGAATGGCAGATGCCTACAACTGCATATACATCTGCTTATTTCATGTTCAGGCATAAGCTGACATGATCCAGTTTTAACTTCTTGTTGCGTGCACATCTCAACTTTTAAGCAGGAAAGCAGGCATTCTACATGGATTATTACATTTGCCCATTAGCATGAGCTAAGCTATAACAATGTGGTTTTGGAAAGAAAGCCAGCAAGGCATCATCCACATAACATTTCCTGACAACTCGTCCAAATAACGTTGCATTATTGTCTGCCAATGAAGTTTAATCAGCTAAAGTTTGCCAGAAAACAAGATCCTCACCCACTCATCTTCCTCTGCAACTTTTCTTCCAGCCGTGGCCTTCCGCGCATCCACACACAAGTCCGCACAGTCACACACTCACACCCACACATGCTCTCATCTGGCCCCTGGAGAAGCCTGTCACTGTGAGTGGCCCTCTGCCATGGGAGGATAAACTACCTGTCATGACGACGACTTTCTGTGGAATTCATATCAGAGGCAAAACAAAGGAGGTGCTGAGGTCACGGGGCATCACTCTTAAATTATTCATCCTCTGCTTCCTCCTTCCGTCTCCTCTCTGCCTGTCGCCCACTTTGTTCTGCCAGCTCACAACAAGGGCAACTGTCAGCCTCCTTCCCATCTAAAATTTTTGGTATAGAAAGTAAATAAACATTATGGTGAAAAACTCCTTTAGAAAAGATACTGATTGACTGTTTTGGAGGGTATGTTTATGTTTACGTTAAGCATGTGGCGAGGCGCAGCGCATGTCTCCCACTTCTGAAGGTCACAGCATCATGAAATTTTAAAATGTGCTTTTCCTCCTACTTGTTGTTTAGTCTTCTTGCGTGCATAATTGATCAGTGTCCTGGCAGCTGCTTGTTCTCATACACTTGCGGTACGTCTCTATTTGGGGCGGTCTCATGTTTTTGGAGAACTGATTCACGGGCAGTCCATAAATCCCATCACTGTGTTTTCCAGAAACAGTTGACTGCTCTGGGCCTGACTGACGCGTGGGACCAGAAAGCAGCTGATTTCTCTGGGGTGTCGGACAAGAGCAAGGGGAAACTCCATCTTGGCGGAGTCCTCCACTGGGCTTCCCTGGAGCTGGCTGCTCAAGCTGGGAAAGGAGACGCAGAACTCGAGGAGGAGAACATAGACAAGCCCAAGATGTTCTACGCCGATCACCCCTTCATCATCGTCGTTAGAGATAACGCTACTGGAGCCCTGCTGCTGATGGGAGCTCTGGACCATGCAGAGGGAGAGGCCCTCCATGATGAACTGTAGCACCCTCCACCCATCCATCCAGTTTTCCTGTCTTTTTTTGGTGCTGTCTCTTACACACTCCCTTTCAAAGACTACACGCTGGTTTCTAAGTCGAGACATTGTCATTCACAGTGGCACACTATCGCATCAGACTACAGCTGGCTGTCATACATTGACACTGCACAGTCTCACGCTGACTGACACTGACACTGCCATACCCGACACTTACACAGTCGCACACATACAGACACCTACATGGCAGACGTTAAATGAAAATACTGTACAAGACATTACTAAAGTTGATGGACACAGAGCAAAACACTAACTTGGAGAGACTCCCTGCATTTTCTGTCGCCCACACATGTGCAACCACACACACACACACACACACACACACACACACACACACACACACACACACACACACACACATTCAAGGCCTCGATGATCAAGTCAATACAAAACAAAATGACAAACCAGAGTGCACTGACTAACACTAACATGCTGACAAGCAGAAGTGGTTACACTGACACAACACTTACAGCAGCATCAACAAAGAACCTTATCGCAGAGAGGCTCGCAGTGACACTTGAATCCTCCTTGTCAGGCAAACACCAGGGTAGGTGAATGGGTGTGTGGGTGTGTGTGTGGTGACCGACAGATCAAGGGTGCCCATGAGGCCGCTCTCGGAGCTGGCAGGGACTGTGGCGGGGTCCCCTGGGCTACATCTGAGGAAGACTGATAGATCAGCCAAGTGCTTATTGATGAGCCAGCTTAATGCTAATGGCCATAATGAGTCACAACGCTTGTCAACAACACGGAGAGGACGGGGAACCTTTTAATCCCTTAATACCATCAGGAATCGATGACACACTGATAGGCCACTGGAAACAAACATGAATGACATCACTTGACTTAATGTAACAACTTAATATTTAGGATGACTACAGCAATTCAAAGAGGTATTAATTTGTATTTGTATATTTAGTTTTTAAAGCACAAGAGTGGATGGTTGACATATTTGAACTACGGTAGCTACCGTTTGAGTGTATGTTTGATATTAGATGAGGTGCTTTTTTTTTTTTTAATAAATCATTTCTAGCCTTGTTTTAATTATTTTTTTCACTACAGTATATTTATCAATGTTTTAACCTGATCTTAATACAAACCAATCAACCATTGAAATGTACAATTAATACGTGTGGATTGGCACACCTCCATCTTTCTTGACGGGATTGATGCAGCAAGATACAAGGCAATTTTTTTTCCTTATTACCTCCACCCTGAACTGAATTGGCTGCTGTTGAACCTGATGGATGTATGTAAGCAGATTTAAAGCCAGTTATTGAATTTTGAGGGGCAGCACATAATAGGCTAGTAGTGTCTATAAAGTGCAGCAACAGCTGTGTCAACACACAAAGGCTTCTCAGCAAACAAACGTTTTTACCAATGAATAATTGAGATATAAGATATGAGTGAATGAAAAAATAGTCCCTCCTTGCCATCCCTCTTAAAACTCTAAGCATTTTGGTATCTTTGATATTATAACTACAACATTTCTGTCCAGCTAATGTACAAAAGGTGCTTTGTTGTTCTACTGGCTGTTCATGTGTCTTCACACACAAAACACTTGCTGTATACAGTATTTCTTGAAGGAAAAAAGGAAATGCATGCAACATCTGTCCTGTTATAGTGCTAAGTAACAGTGTCTAGACACACAGCTGGTCTGTCTGATACACAGCATTCAATGAATCTGTTCCTGTAACACCCCGGTATTACAGCTTTGTTCCTAATTTAGCCCTCTGCACAGGTCTGCTCAGCAACAGTATGTGTAGTGCATGTGTGTGTGTTCGTGTACTGTTCATGTATGCGTTCATGTGTTAACAAAGCTACTACAATGACCTCTCTGCAATGGCCTCCTGTACAGTGGAGACTTGTAAAGGGCACTATACTGCAGGTATACTCCACACTGAATAAACCCGGGAGCTCAATTTAGACAAGCTGATGATGGATCCGAGGCCGTCTGCTGTGCGCACATCAATCCTGCTCACTCCAACATCAGCTCCCCGCTGACTCACCTTCACATTTCATTCAGTTCAGAACACTCACAAACACATGCATGTCCACATCCACCCACATGTAGCCAGCAATAATCTGACTGACAAAGAAAAGCTAAGAAAACTAGAATTCAGTGATGTGTAGAGCGCCTATATGTACAGTATTCAAAGAATGAGCGTAGGTTATATATGCCAATGTCAAAATATACAATGTTTTATACAGGCATTGCAGCAATAAATACATATGAGCTTCATTTTATTCTGTCTTTCAGTGCCAGTGTTTATGTCGTACCACTTTTTTAAGCAGCAGCTGGTGTCATTGTCAAGGTACAGGATGTAGAGTGGCCAAAAGCTAGTGCTCAATTCCCTGCAGTGGATGTACTTCAGCTGTAGGAGTGGAACTGGATACAGGCTGTTTTTTGTTTTGTTTACAGTCACTACCAAATACTTTAAAGCCAGAAGGTAAGCCTTTAAATGCACACAGACCTTATGTAAGATTCAGGTCTGTTAGGTTCTACATACATAGGTTTTAAAATGTAATCCACAAAATAATTAAATAGATTTGTCTTTGAAAGAAGCCATTCTGAATGTTGCCATGCCACTGTGTTTAATATATTCCAAAATGAGTTGTATTCCTAGTGGTTTTTGAGGCAGTGTTTTTTTTTATTTTATTTATTGACGGTTTGTGTGTTTGTCTCTCTTCAGCACACACTGTGTCCGGGAGCACTCTTCGGCAAGCAGCAAGCAGCGATATTTTGGACAGGTAATTGAGGTGAACTGCATTATGAGCTCTCTGTGCTAACTTGACACTATCACCAACAGTAACTTCCCCCCCACTCTCTCGTATGAGAAAAAGGTTTGAAGGGAATTTAATGTTTAATCTGGGTTTTTAAATAAAACATGATAAAAGAGGGACCATGAACTTCCTGTCGTTCCTGCCGCCTGGTGTGATGGGTTCAACTCTTGGACAATCCAAGCGGCAGAAAAGAGGGCGAGACAGCGAAAGAGCACTCAGCACAGAGTCATCCCAGTTACAGTACAGTACTTACCCTTTAGAGGAAGTCATAGAAGTGGCTCTGCTCAACTGGGGGTCAACTTGCTGATAGGGATGCTACAGGGGCCCCTCCATTTTCGCCTTGCTCTTGTTAAAAGCTTGAGATAGGTCAAAAGTAAGAGGCAGGCCTGTGATACATGAAAAGCAGCAATGTTTTGTGCTTGTGTTTGACCGTAGGGACAGCTTACTGACATTCTGTAAAGCCACACAGATACCCAACTGCTTCAGACCATTTCCATTCAGATGTGGATTTAAACCTCCGTGGGGAATGGCAGATAGGATTGTAATGAAGAGGCACTTTCTCAGCTATTTAAATCTCAAAATGGCCTTCAGATAAATAAAGTTAACAAGTGTGTATAGCATAGCAAGAGTTCACATTTGGGTAAAAAGCTGGGATATGCCTTTCTGGTACTGTTAGTGGCTCAAGGAAAACTTAGTTCATTAAAACCAATCTAGTTAATTTTGTATGAATTGTTTAATGTGTTATGTGTAATTTTAGCAAATAGGCTGTGGATTAATGAATTATGAGCCTTCAGATATGGAAAAAATAAGATATTGACCTGAATTGAAAGAAAAGCGACACAGATGGAGATAGAAATACAAAAACTATGCCTGTTAAAACAGACTAGTGCCACGACTGAAATGATCAGGGATCTGTAACATAAATACATTAATGCATTTTCTCTAAAATATTTTTTTGTGACAGGAACACCCTCTCTACATCACACACACTTCTTGGTGTAGTCCTGTTGATGCTACTGGTAGACTATAATTGAATGGAAATGTCTGGGTGCATGTGATAAATGAAGACCACAAGCAACTTGGGGTTCAGTGTTTTGCTCAAGGACAAACCATAAACAGACGACCCTCTCTACCTCCTGAGAAAGTCTCTCCATGCAGCGTTACTTCGATATCAACCTTAATGTAACATCATTTATTCTTATTTAATTATAACATCTATCAAGTTATGCCACTTTATATAATGTCAGCCAATAGAAGTACATTCCTTACAAGGCTAACATTATCAGCGTCTTGTTGTGGTCACAGAAAAAAAATTCAACATATTAATAAACAAGTAATTACAGTTTTTATTACAGTGAAACAGTAATTTACCGATCAAGCTGTTGCAGTGGAGCTATAAAAGGTGAATATACATAACTTACTAAATATTTCTGTGTTTTATTGTATTAAGCAAGTGAGGTAGCTAGCTAGCTAATGTTAGCTATTTTTAACGTTTGCTAACTAAACTAGCTTGTGAGACATTTTTACATTTAAGAACACATTTAGAAGTTCAGTTCATAATTATCTGGACATAACATTAACGTAACATTCAAAGGAATTATATTTCAGGTGTGTAATACTAAAATGTATGTTTCACTATGTTATATGTTTTTGGGAGTTATGATTCAGTGTTTTAAATATAGTCATAAGAACAAGACAGAAAACATCTTTTCAATAATTTTTTAATATTTAAAAACAAAAGTTTGTATTAATTCTTCATTAAGGCACATCAAGTAACTGAAAAACATAAGGTAATATGTCAGAACTACTCTAACTTCTCTCACGGCAGACATTTTGTCTCTTTAAGGAAGGAAAAGCACAGGTGTAACTTAATAACTAATAATATTAATTATGGCTCTGTTCCACTTGTGTTTCCCTGTAAACCATGAACATGACCATCATGCATTATTACAGCTTTTCCACACTAGATATTTTTCGGCATGTAAAGCAGAAACAGCACAGGTGTAATTAATAATATAACGAGTCCATTCCATACAGGTGAGCTACTTCCAGGGTTGGTATTATTGTGCGTGCTGGCTCACTGACGTAGCTTACTGGGACACTTGGTGGAGCTGAGCCATCATTAACAACATTTGTTCCACCTGTGCTTCTCCTGCTATGACAAGTCAGAAAGTCTGCAGTGAAAACAAGTCTGTAACCGGCCCCAGCACTGACACATGTGAGTGAAATGTCATTTATGGGTTGGTTTAGTATCTTGCTAGTCAGGGTACACTTGAATCCTGTGCTCTTTCATAATTGAGTGTGGTTATGTTATCAGAGAGAGAGAGAAACCTTGATGATGCTACTGGAAGACCTTGCACAACATTCAGTTATCCAGGTTATAGACAGTACCTTTTCACTCAGTGCTTGATATATATATTAAGGATTTTCAAACATATAGCTATGACAAATTTGGGTGGCAAACCACAGTACTCCCATTGTGGCAGTATCTTCAAGCTCTGGCTTCTCATTTGTTATCAGTGACTGGCAGGGCTAACCTGACCAGTATGGTTTTGTCTAACACTCAACACACTTTCCAGGAAGAGTTTGCGCCTGTAAATAAAAGTTTTCCATGTGCCACCACGTGAACTATTTGAACTGTATATTTTTTGTATAAATGCATGTAACTTTAAACCCATATGTGATAAGTGGGATCACACTTGGGAAACCGCAAGCCTACAGAAAACTTTTGAAGGCTAAATATCACACAATAGCTTTACTCTGTCACTATTGTCTATTGTCTTTCTCAGCAGCAGATAGTTAATCTGCCTGAAGCAGACTGTCTGCAGCAGCCCATATTAATGTTATTGATCATTGTCAACTTTTGTGCTTCCTCCAACCTCAGATCACACTACTGTGGGCTTTCATGGCTTTTTCCTTTCCAGTAAAGGTTTCTTTTTTCATTTTTCCCTTTCTCTGTTCTTCTCCCCAATAACCTGTCTCCTTTATTGCACACAGTCCTTAGAAAGTGACAACTTGAGAAACTGAATCAAAGTTTCAATAAAGCCTGGACTGCTGTGGGCTTTGACAAGTGAGGTGGCTAGAGTGGAACAGTACAGAATGAGACTGAAGGAGGACATATCGGTTCCAGAAAGATAAATAGTTCATGAAGCTGTTGACTTCACCATTTTATTACTTTTGTCTCCGAATTTTCCGCCTGCCTGCAGCTCTTTCTACCCACAAATTATTCATCATGCTCCCCACAGGCCCCAGCTGTCAATCCCAGGATTAGGAGTTGGTGAAGATGGGAGTTGTAAGTTTGTCATGAGCTCAGGTGCACAGATACTTGCCAGGATCTTGATAAAACTATGAAAGCTATTATGATACCATATAATCATTTCAGCTTTACTTAGAAAAAGACAAAGCTGCAGCAGTGCAGACAAGACTGCTGTAATGTTTTCCAGTTTTAGTTATTTGACCTTTCATCTCCCCTCTGTTTTGAAGCTGACTCATGAGGGTTGAGGAAGACAATGAAGCCTCTCTGACGGCCTGAAGTCTCTCATGTTCACTGCGGGAGGTCCAGCCTGAGGGTAAACAATAATAATGATGGCTATATACAGGGACATACTTACTCCATGTGTCAAACATAACTTACGTTGTGTCGATCAAGAAGTGATTATTTGTACATAAACCTTATTCTCTCTATAAATTATGTTTCATTTCCAATACTTCATGCTAAGGTTATTAATTAAGAGTGTGTGATTTAATATAAGGATAATGCTGATATGGAAAATATATATACGTGCAAATACAATTATTTATTACTTGGAAGGAATGAATGAATGAATTAAAGGTTTTATAATGACGTGCACACAAGGTGAAATATATATCTTTCCAACACTTTTTCACATCTTGATGCCATGAATATCTACTTATGATGTGGTGTCCAGCAAATCTTTCAAATGACAAGGCATCACGTAATTATCCTGTATCGTTCTCCTAAATGCCAAATTATGCAATTACGTGATTACCTCAGGGAGGAAGTAATTGTGATTTTTTTTTTCCTTGAATTTGGATTTTCATATTTTCATTTATGCTATAGTAAGTCAAAGCACAATTACATCAACCCTGAAGTCCAGACTACTGTCAAAAATAATGACTGTGCTCAAAACAACAAAAAAGAGCAAGATTATTCTGACAATGTGAACCAGATGTAATTATGAAAATTGGTGTCCTTCAATATATCACTGTGTTTCAAAAGTCTTTTTTATATATATATAAATCTCTGTGCCTGTATCTGTTAACCATTGAAAAACTGAAGTTGAATGCAGTGAGAAGACTTTGGTGGAGGAAGAAATGCATGAGTAACCTGGTAAAGCCATCAACTTGTTAATGGAAACCTTGTCAGCAATGAAGAAGTGATGGGCAAGGTTTCCCAACCACCAACAGTGATACTCTGCATGGTTAGAACAACATTATCTACA